GCACATGTGAGGAAACAGGTAAGAGTGTTGAGATCTTCTCCAGGTTCTCACTGTGGGTATAAGATGGAGCTGGGCTGTGAATCTAATGTGCAACCACAATGCCTGGGGTTCTCTTGTGCAGGCTTTGAGCTCTTTAGGTTCTGGGGTGTCTTGGAAAGAACTTTGATCCTTTAGTCACAAGACTGGTGTTTTTGTCAGGGCTCTGCTGCCAACCTGCTTAGGATGGCATCACTGAGCTTCTGCTTCTCTCTGGGGGGTAAGTGTTGGGAGGGGATGTGCCTGTGGCTCAGAGTCTTGTGAGATGAGAATGGGTATGTGTTTTGGAAAGAATATAATGGAAATCACTGGTCCCCTGGCCCTAGCCCTCAAGCATATGAAAGGGTTTGTAGAGCAGCATGAGGGGCTGGGGAAGGTCCCATCTCTGATGCTATCTCTGCCTACTTGCTTTCCAGGCCCTAGGTTCTTAGAAATGAGTCAATTTTTAAAATATGGAAATCTAAATGATTTTAGAAAAAAATTCTCTACCATGTGCACCCTGAAGGATTTCTGTTGTTGTTGTTGTTGTTTGTTTGTTTTTTGTTTTTTTAACAGATTTTACTCCTGTGACAAATGGATCTTCCAGTCAAAGCCAAGTCACCCATCTGTTTGCAATGTCCATGCAAGGAGAATTGAAGTAATAGACCAGGTCCATTTCTTGGTTGACTTGTCTTTGCTCCTAGGCCCAACTCCTTCCTCACCATTTTCTCACACCTTGCTTATAGTTGCTTTGCATTAACCAGAACTTTAAACTTCAAATCTTGAGTCTGCTCAAGAGGCCTCAGAGCTATGAAATTCATCCTAAATTTTCCAGCAAGAGACAGAGGCCTCTCTGAGCAATGTGATAAGACAAACAGCCAAGAGGTGATCACTGACCACTAAGAGTAGAGGTGACTAGAGCTTGAGATGGACATGAGAGGACAGCCAGAGGTCAGCTTAGAGGGACAGCTCCATAAGACATCAAAACCCACTGGCCCTGGACCTTCAGACTATTTCTAAGACACACAAAGAAAGCCAATTTCATGACTTTTCCACTGATTTTTGAAGCCAGTCCCATTTTATTTCTGTCCTTACTTTCTAGGCAGCCGTGACTCAGAGATAGTGTATCTGATGCTTGACACTGTCTGAGTTTGAATTCTGGTCCCATCATTTACTACTTAACTTCTCTGAGCCTCATTCTTTATATTTAATTGGGAAAAATTGAGGAATCTACCTGATAAGTTTTCGGTAGACCAATGTTCAAGTTCTGGTTAATTTGTTGCATGTCCTTAAGGAAGTTTTGGTAGCTCTCTGGTAACATCCTCAGAGTGAAAATGTTGGAATAGATATTTCTTCTCCTGTGCCCAGCTACACTGCAGGCTAGTCAGTTCGCAATGTCAATTGTAAAGAACTTATTGTTGTACAAATTTAAATAAATAGATTAACCACATGTGAGATGTGCTTTCATTTACATCATCTCACATAATTATATAGACATCCCAGGTCTGGTTGCTGAGGACTTGCCTCAAGGTGGACACTGTGCATATCATCAACTATGAGGTTTAGTCATTAAAGGATGAAACACATTCCCTTCAGTGCATTTTAATTTGGCTCTGAAACCATCCTGAAAGAATAAACCCATTAATCAATAACCTCCCTTTTCCCATCTTTCTTCACCTTTGAAATCTAATCCAAAGGCAGATCTGAAATAGTTAAAGGTGAGATGGAGCTCCACCCCCCCACCCAAGAGGCCAGTGGAGCCTGACCTAAAGGGACTTTGGTGGGAAGACTGAAGTTCTGAGGACATAGTTCCTGGTTTATTTGCCTCTGTTCAATTACATGCCTTCCATGTCTTTCAGGGCAGTTAGAGACTTTAGCCCAGTTCAATCTGATGTGAGCCTGCATAAAGTTGCTATTGTTTCATCAACCAGTGAAGACAAGGATTCCCAGAGAGGTTGGACCTTGGTCATTTGGCAGAGGGGGTGGTGCAGTGAAGTGGCAGAGATATGTGTCTTGGCACACTTGTCCCCAGAGTCTGGTTCTCTCTGCTCTTTATTTCCTCTGCCTCCCACTTATGGCTGTTTTGCAACTCCCATACCACTGGGACTCTGACTTTGCATCCCTAAGCTGTCAAACTAAGCTCAGAGGCTTCACTTCCAGTTGGCCTACAAGGAAGACCCAAGGACAGATGGTGTCATTGAGATGAGTGTGCAGTCCCTCAGGTGTTATCTTGGAATAGAACTATGCATGCGCATATGCCCAAGATGTGATATATGTGTTACACAGTACTCATTTAGAAAAATGTCCATTTCACCCCTGGATAGCCCTTGAAAGTTTATAAAGCACTTTCCTATATGCTTGATATTTGATCCCTGCAATTCCACCAGGAGGTAGGTATTCTAATCCCATGTACAGGCCAGAAGCAGTGCCAGACCCAGGTGACCCGATCCTTACCCAAGTCCTAGGGCACAGGAGCAGAGGTCTGGCTCCATTATGCATCTTCTGACCAGATCAGGTGCCAGGCTTTCCTCCCACCAGGATTCCTCCTATTCAGTGCCCTAGGGGCAGAGTAAATTCTCAAGACCATGAAGAAGTGAAGAACAATGCCTGGGCTGAGGGCATGTCTCCTATCATAAGACTAACTTTAAATTAGAAATCAGAATATTACTGGAGGCAAACACTGACTGAGTTCTCTGCCCAGCTCTGTTGCAGCCTCAGATACACAGAGCCACAATGTGGGGAGGGTCAGAGGAGGGTATGAGGGCTCATGTTCAGGACCCTCAAACTCCAAATTTTGGCCATCTACTTAATGCTTCAGTTTCCCCATTTGCAGGGTAGGACGGCAGTGTGAATTGGTTGAGATATGGCTGGCATAAGGCCTGGGCCCAGGCAACTTCTCAGCACACAGTCTTTATGGCTTCTGCCATTTTTGTTCCTATCTTGTCCTAGACTCCTGCAAAGCCCCTCCTTGTCATCCTTGGTTTGCATTGTTGGTTTTTCACTTTCTGTGGTTGCATTTTCTTTGTAAGCACACACTGTTCATCTATATTAGACATGAGTATCCTGTAATCACTGCAGCCATCCTGCCAGAACATCTGTTAGAGACCTTCTGTGCAAGGTGATCTCCTAAGGGACCAAACAGCCCTTCTGATACCAGATTATCAGACGAGATGTGGTGTATCAGATGTCAGGGTGGCACTGACAGGGTACTTCCCATGCCTCCCATAGGAGGTGGTGCTTTACACTCGCGTGAGGAATCATCATGACACTGCCCACAGTAGGGCTGGTAAGAATGCCCATTTGCTGCACCAGTCTGGTGTGGTTGCTAAACACCTCCAACAAGGGCCAAGGTATGTATTTCTCTTCTCCATCTTCTGATTACTTGATGTTTTTGGTGTCTGCTGGATTTGTGGATTTCCAGACTGCTTACTGATTGATGGATTTTCCAAGACTTTGTGATCCCAGGGCCAACTTTCCATCTGTCCTCCAGCCCTTTAACCTCCTTTGACAGAGTGGCTGTGAACACTGTTTGGAAAACAATAGTGAAATTAATTTCTTATAGCTTGGCATGGCCCAGCAGTAGAAAGATATTTTGTTTGTATGTTTTTAGCTTCTATCATTCTCTTTTTTTCTAAGATGGTTAACCCTAAGCCTTATCACTAGTAAATAAAACCATGATGTTGATAGTCATTGACCTTACAATAATTATTTATGTAAACATCCTAAGACTTATCCCTTTGTCCTTTGATTTCCTTTTGAGTTGTGAAAAAGTTCCCCAATTTAATCAGACCTAAACTCCCCTGCTTCCATTATTAAGCAAAGTCTGTCACTTGAAGCTTTCTAGAACTGCATATTTATTGCCCCTCCATAGATGACCACCAACATCCTTGGATCTGTTTCCCTCTTCTCTTGAGACCCAGATGTCAGGCACTGATTTAACATCAACCTGTCCAAACCAGATCCTCCTGGAGCCCCCATGCCTGTGAAGAGTATCCCAGTGGTCCAGTAAAGGTCACTTAGGCTCCTCTCACAGTCCCTCTCCCCATGTACAGTAAATGATCAATCCACTTTGTCTGTTTATCTATTTTTTTGGCCCTGCTGAGAAGCTTGTGGGATCTTAGTTTCCCCAGCGAGGAATTAAACCTTGGCCCTGGGCAGTAAAACCATGGAGTCTTAACCACTGGTCTATCAGAGAGTTCCCCTACATTATTTTCTCACATTCTCTTTTCCATTTCCATCCCTGTTCCTTTATCCCAGTATTTTTACTTTACATTTAGATAATTGAAATAGCCAAATAGAGAATCTTGATTTCTTCAAGCTCACCTGTAGTTTGCTGCTTTGCAGTCAGTCTTTCCCAACCATCCCACAAATGCTCTGAGGATTATTTGCAAAATTCATTATTTTTTTTTCAACAAATAAGATCTTTTGTTTGTCACCATTAAAAGTGTGCATTTTAAACAGATTCTTGGACTGGTGGCTTGTATCCATCATCCCGTTCAACTTTAGCATCTGTCTCACCCCCAGCAGCTTTTCCAGAACCACCACTTCACCATGTAACTCCATGAGTTTTCCCAATTCAAACTTGGGCTTCTTCAGCATTTTTTCTTTTCTAATGAAGACATCATGGAGCAGATAAATAGATTGGCAAGATTTTTCTATGTCTTTCCCAAGGCTATCTGGAATCAATTTATTGACCAACTCTTTCAAGTCATTTGTCTGCACCTTTCAGATCATGATTTCCATCATCTTCTTGCAAATCTGGTGCACCTGCTGGTGCTGGACATAAGAGGTCATCTGAATCTGATTGCTGCATTTTTTTTATTAAAACCCACACAAAACAGACAAAGCAAGTAACCATTGGTAATCTTGACAACAACATGAGCTTTAATCAAGGTCTGCCATTTTTTGATCCATGCCATGGAAGTTAATTAAGCATTTTTTGCCCTGAACATCCTCAATAATTAGTTTGAGTTTTCTAATGCAACTTCATCATTGTGCAGATCATCAAGACTCACTTCAAAAACATGCCCCTTCAGGTCATCAGATGCAGTTTTGGTTCCTTGAGATCTTGTGACCAATGTTTTACCAATATTCCTTATATTGAACATAGCTGGTGCTTTCACATCATACCCATCTTTTTTAGAAAATGGGTCAACCACTTTCTTCTTGGCTCCCCTTTTGCCTCCTTTCATATGGTGCTTGTTCTTGCCAACTACCATGGTGCTGCTCAGAGAGCCAAAAAGGGCAAAATTCTTTATTCTTCTCATATTATTTCCTTGCAAAATTACTCTGTGGTTCTCACTGGTTTATTGGTTTAAATTCCAAGCTCATACTGTGATATTTAAGACTGTCCACAGCCCTCTCTAAACTTGTCTCACAATGTTTCTCAAAGACTTCATCTCCTCCAAAAACATTTCCATTCTACGCTTTCCTAACATGTCCACAATTCTTCATCTTTGTAGCTTTCATTTACTCATCAAGTAATTAGTGGACCAATACTCAATGGCAAGGCCTGGGCTAGGTCTTGCTCATGATACAGCCTCTTTTCCCTAAAAAACACCTACTCCCTCATGCTGTTTCTGTGACAGGGATGGCCTCCCCTTTCTTGTGACACCCTTCTCTTGAAATTCTGCAGTAAGATAGGATATGTCTGACGTTGTGAAAAGCATTTTCCAACATGTATCAAGAAATTCAAAGACATTCTCGCCTTTGAACTAGTGATCCCCACTTTTTGGGAATCTAAGGGTATAATTATAATCCAAACTGCAGAAAAACAGTTTGTTTAAAAAGATCCACTTTGCTACCTTATTCATCAGCTTTATTGATAGTATTGAAAGTGGAAATGACATATATAATACAGGATGACATAAACAAAAATAATTTTATTATAAGAATAATAGAAGACTTTTAAACTCTACTTGATAAACTCTGAGGAATATATTACATTTGCTCAATTTCCAAGTACAGAAGCTTCTCATAATATGAGAAAATGTCCATTATGAATTATTAGAGTAAAAATCATACTGAAAGCATGCATATGTATTTATACATGTGTGTATGTATTTAATCTTTATAACTGTTTAACAAATTATTTTAAAATTATATATAGTAAAAAAGACTATGAGTAAACAAATTACAATATTACCAGTGATTATCTCTAGAATATGTATTGTAAATAATTTCTTTTTAATTTCTTTTATGTCTTCCAAATTTTCAATGTAGCAAGCATGCATTATTTTCACATGATTTATTTTTACCTGCACTTGTGACTTAGCCAATTCTATGTGGGTATTTTAGTGCCCAGATGTACTCCAACTTGGCCGCAGGTCACCAAAATGCACATCCCTGTCTATGAACTCGAGTAACACTCATCACCTTTGTCATTAGTTGGCCATATTATACAACACAATATACTTTAATTGTTCGAGAAATGACTTTTCTCCTCAATTAAATCGTGAGCAAACGGGAAGCATGACTTAGGCATTGCTGTTAGCTCAACATTGAGCCAGTTGACTTGTGGAAAAAAAAAACAACTTCTGGGGGAATAATCTGTGTTAATAAGTATTAAGGCCTTTTAGTATTAATGGACCATATAAGTAGCAAGTTACTCTTTGATTTGAAAGAAGTAAGTGATTGCAAAATGTTTATATAAGATATCTGTCTGAAATATCCAGGAAGGGAAGAATATGAGGACTGGCATTGTTTAAGCCCTTGCTAGGGCAAGCTTGTTGATGGCCACCTGATTTTATGACTATTTTATATTCTTCCGAACAGTTTTATGGGGTAGGTGCTTTTGGGTCCTGAGCCCAAGATCACACAGCTGGTGAGTGTCTGTTCTAGCCATCAATCCAAGCTTGACTGGCTTCAAAGCTCATTCTCCTTCCATTGATTTCTCACATGATAAAATTCAGTTGCAGCAGAAACTTCTGACATGACAGACATACTCTTCCATCCCTCCTGGTTTCCTAGCCAGATGTGTGGTTAAAGGAAACCTAAAAGTCAGAATGAGAAAACAAAAGTCCAACTTCCAGTTTCCAAGTGTATTAAGATCCCCTGCATAATTAATATTGTCATGTGTATCACTGACTCTGTCCATGATGCCAATTATCTTGCTGTTCACACTGTGCACAGTGTTCGTTGAACCCAGGTTAGGCAAGGTGCAAGCTAAGAGGCTGGAAGAAGATGCAAAGAGTTGCGGGAACTGCAGATATGTTTATTCTCTCCTGGCTGATGCTGCAGCCATACCACAATGCTCTCCTCTCATGGCTGACCCAACGGACAAAGCTGTGATGCAGAATTAATGTTGCTGGTTTCTAGAGGAAGCTCATATATGTGTCCAGAACATGACAAAGCAAGTACCTTGTGACACTCATGTGCAGTGCTATAAGTGATCTCAGCTGTTACATAATCATTATGTACAAAATGACTTTGGGGCAAGAGAGCCTAACCACACCATCTTCGCTAATTTGCTCTTTCTCTACACTGTGTAGTTGAAATCACTGTTGAAATTAATGAGAATTGAGTATTCAGAGGTTGCCGCATCACTTACCTTTGGCAGACACTCAAAGGCAGGAAGAGGAGTGGGAAAACTTTGTAATAAAGAACAAAGAAGGCTTCAGGTGTGCCTTGACTGGAGGCTGCTGGCCCAGGGAAGCTGCAGGTGAGGTAACTAGGAGCAGGACTCCATGTGGTTGGTTGGTCGTAGGGGCAAAAATTAAGGAAGTTGTCAATTATGTCAAGATGAGTGGAGGGCCAGGGGCAGAACTGCCCCATTCATTCAGACACCCTGGGAACCCACTCTGTTCCTGACTGTGAGCACACCAGGCCCCTCTCCACCCCTTCCACACCAATCCCCAGTCACACAGCAATTGCCTCCCTGGAACACACACTCTAGGAGGTAAGAGCACAGGCACAAGTCACCCCTAACAAGAAATCAACCCAAACTACTCAACCAACATTTCACACCAAGGGCAAAAAAAAAAAAAAAAAATTAAGAAGGACCTCAGATATGCAGATGACACCACCCTTATGGCAGAAAGTGAAGAAGAACTAAAGAGCCTCTTGCTGAAAGTGAAAGAGGAGAGTGAAAAAGTTGGCTTAAAGCTCAACATTCAGAAAACTAAAATCATGACATCTGGTCCCAACACTTCCTGGCAAATAGATGGGGAAACAGTGGAAACAGTGGCTGACTTTATTTTGGGGGGCTCCAAAATCACTGTAGATGGTGACTGCAGCCATGAAATTAAAAGACACTCACTTTTTAGAAGGAAAGCTGTGGCCCTTAGACAGCATATTAAAACACAGAGACATTACTTTGCCAACAAAGGTCCATCTAGTCAAGGTTATGGTTTTTCCAGTAGTCATGTATGGATGTGAGAGTTGGACTATAAAGAAAGCTGAGTGCTGAAGAATTGATGCTTTTGAACTGTGGTGTTGAGAAGACTCTTGAGAGTCCCTTGGACTGCAAGGAGATCCAACCAGTCCATCCTAAAGGAGATCAGTCCTGGGTGTTCATTGGAAGAACTGATGTTGAAGCTGAAACTCCAATAGTTTGGCCACCTGATGCAAAGAGCTGACTCATTTGAAAAGACTGTGATGCTGGGAAAGACTGAGGGCAGGAGGAGAAGGGGATGGCAGAGGATGAGATGGTTGGATGGCATCACTGACTCAATGGAGATGAGTTTGAGCAAACTCCGGGAGTTGGTGATGGATAGGGAGGCCTGGTGTGCTGTGGTCCATGGGGTCACAAAGAGTTGGACATGACTGAGTGACTGAACTGAACTGATTCTTTACTTTTTTGTGCTTCATTTTTTGTTGTTTTTATTGACAAATTTTATTTTATTTTATTTTTTTCCATTTATTTTTATTAGTTGGAGGCTAATTACCTTATTTTGAATAAGCTTTAGTGACCTGTGTTTGTCTTTACTTCTATCTTCACCTGTGGTTAATTTCTATTAAATGTATCCAATGAGTTCTTAATCTCAAAACTGTATTTTCTTAGCTTTTAGAATATATATGTGAGCTTTATAAATTCAAATTATCTGTTGATATGCTTTTTAAACTATTTTCCATCTTTTGCTTTATTTTTATTTAAAATATTAGTTTAACATATTAAATGAGTCTTTGTCTTCTAATTTTAATAACTAAATCATCTCCAGATCTGCTTCTGTTGACTATTTCAACTACTGATTTCTACTCATTTTGCCTGAATATTCACATATTTAGTATCCAGTGCATTTTTAATGTGAACTGTTCATATGAGTGATACATTTCAGAAGTTTTGGATTACATACCTTTCTCCAAATCATGGTAAATATTAAAATTTTTCTGGATGGAAATTAAATCATCAGTAAATCACCTTGATTTTCTTGAGATCTGGCAATAAGGTTTGTTGAGGCAGGAATGTTTCAGTATTTATCTTGTGTCTAGAGGGTGCACCTTGTTTTTATACTGTGGCATTTATTGACCCTCAATCATCAACTTGACTGCACTGGACTCAACATTGCCCATCACTTTGTAGTCTCTAAAATATCAGCACAATTCTCCATCCTCCAAGAAATATCTGCTAGGCCTTCTAGACTGATACCATGCACATGAACCGTTTATGTTGAGGTCAAGAACTCAGTGAGAATTTTTAATATGAATGCTAGGAATCCTTTACTGTACTGTTCCCCTTATTCCCTGTCTTGCATATCAGAGAGGAAGCTAAGATGAATGTGAAATTCTTCATGTGTGCTTCCATTCTCCCAAAGATAATAGCCCCAATATAGTCATTGCTTTCAGTCTACAAGTTGTTGTCATATGTTTTAATCAAATCCTACTGAGAATAGGAAAATGTATATTTGATGCCGGCAAATTCAACTTAGCTATAACTTAGAAACTATGTTTGGTACTCTACCTCGAATCACTGTGAGCATACTCACACATGTGTTTTGGTGAATACTTTTGTTGTTGTTTGGTCGCCAAGTCATGTTTGACTCTTTGCAACCTCATTAACTTGCAGCACACCAGACTTCCCTGTCTTTCACTATCTTATGGAGTTTGCTCAAACTCAAGTCCACTGAGTCAGTGATGCCATCCAGCCATCTCATCCTCTGTTGCCCCCTTCTCCTCCTGCCCTCAATCTTTCCCAGCATCAAAGTCTTTTCCAATGAGTTGGTCCTCCACATTAGGTGACCAAAGTATTGGAGCTTCAGCTTCAGCATCAGTCCTTCCAAAG